CCCATTACATCTGCTTTCAAGAACCCACATGCTCTGCAGCTTTTCAGTCAGACAAAAGGAGGTTTTCCAGCAGACTGTCCCTTCTGAGAGTGGGTCCCCACATCCCACACCGATGTCCTGCTGAGCCCCAGGGCACCAGACCAGCCAGCCTGACTAACCCATCATCGCCCACAGCCACCACCTCTCCTCCCCTCAGACCTGCACAGCACTGCCTGAGCCTCTCTTCTCCTCCTGGGGAGCTGGAGAAGCGTGTGATTGCAAATGACAGCCTCACCTCTTCACCCATGGAGTGGGGGCTGGATGAGATCTGATCAAGCAGCTGCTTATCAGTCCTGGGCACTGTCTGCCCATCACTCAGGAGCCACAGGCTGCTCTGTGTCAGAAGTCCCCGCAGGGCTCTCCCAGCAAGGCCTCCAAAGACACTGAGGGGATTTTCAAACCAGCTGGTTTTGTCTGGTGTGCAAGTAAATTATGCAGCTGTATTGCATACCTGTGTGGTTGATGGCAGTGGAATATATTTTAGGAGTTAATACAGGGATTTCCTGGGCTGGGACATTACACTCCTTTCACCTTTTCTTGGTCTGAAAGCCAGGTCCCAGAGCAAAGCAGGTGCAGAGGACATCAGGAGCACCCAAGCTGTGTATGAGCTGTCTGCATTGAGCTGATCACACCTCAAAACAAAACCCCCCTCCCACAGGGATCATTGCTGGCACCCAAATGCAGGATTTATCCCCAAAGAATCCTTCTCCCGTTTGCTGAGTGTCTCCATATTCTGATCTACAGGAGCACATGGCTGAAGCAGGTGTGAAGAATGCCGAACAATATATCCTAATGTCTCCCCTGCTCAGGTAAGGGAACAAACTCACTAAGGTGGAGCTTGGCTAATGTAAGAACTTCACAGGTCCCTAATTATACTTGAGAAACACTATAAACAGAAACAGAATTCTGATTTTAAAAGGTGATCAAAAAGAGCAGCTCTTAGCACACCTGGCCAGCATAAACCAATGTAGGACATGGTCAGATTTTGGCACAGTGGATCAGAGAAGGAATGAGCTCCCATGAAAGACAGGTGCTCTTTACACCTCAGGGCAAGACACTACCTCTGGGCCTTCTCAGTGTAACCATGGGCCTTCCATAAGCATCTGCTGAAGGGCTTTTCACCTGTCTCAGCACTCCTTTAAGCACCATCCATACACAAATCCCTACTTCACCTCCCTCCCTCGGTCAGCCACTGCATTCCGTATGTACCTAACGGGGCAGCAGAGGCGCCTGCTCTTTGCATGCCCTGGGTGACACTGTACAAATTCAAAGCTCCCACAAACATGAAACAAAGGCTCCAAGGATATGGCAGCTTTCCCACGTCCCTGGCTGAGCAAATGGAAACACTTCCCAAAAGCACATGCCATAAAGGCTGTCCTTGGTGGTTCTGTGCGCCCAGGGCTATGTGCCAAGATGTGCTAAGCAGCTTAAACAGCAACCACTCCTGCACGAGCCCTTTTACCCTCTCCCCTGGCTCAGGGCACCTACGTAGGACCAGAAATGAGAAGGGATAGTTAAACTCAGGGATAACTAAACTCCTTGAGAGCCAAGGAAAGGCACCCTAATCCTGACAGGCTGAGAAGTACTTTTTAACATCTTGTGACACAGTAGCTCCCAGAGCAGTGATGGAGCTCATCCAGATTCCCATCCTGGGCTGGAGCTGGCTTGTAACACCCCCAATGGCTTCATTAACATCTGTGCCAGTGACCAGTTCTCCAGCACAGGATCCCCGGACAGTCCTCTGGAGACGGCTCCTGCCATCACTGAAGCCAACCTCCAAGATAAAGGCTGCCTGCAATCCTTGAGAAGAGGAACTTACCACAAAATACTTGGTAGAAACAGCAGCAGCTTTGTTTCTGTTTTGCTTCCAAAGGGTAAGCACCTTTTTCTCTCCCTATCCTACTGCTGTAGTACAGTTTGTACATCCCATCATTCAGATGTCTGACAAATTATTTCACAGTGTCCTTTATCCATAGCTGTGACGAGCAAATTATACTGATTTAGGCTCATCTACCTTGGTCTCCAGGGATGCTGGATATTAAACTCTCTCAGAACTGGCAGCCTGAAGCACTGTCACCACTCAGCCTGAAGGAAGATGCTGGGATGGCTTCCCTACTCAACAAAAAAAAGGCTGCTCTATTCAGGGGAGGAACTAAAATATGACGAAGGGAGCACCACATTACTCATTCCTTCTGCAGAAATGAAGCTCATCTTAGCCACAGCAACAGTATTTACTCCAAATGGCAGGTCTGCAACTTCACCACTGGCTCCAAGAAATACTCTATGTCTTTCCTTCCTGATACACGGTAAGTCCTGTGAGATCCTGCAGGCTCCATTACCCCACTTGGTGGCAGCCAAACTGCCTAACCATGCCCATAAAATAATCAACAGGCACCACACATGAAAGGCAGAGATTATGGCTGGCCTTTCAGTGAAGCCAGAAGGTTTGCCCAGCAGTGACTTCAGAATGAAGGATTCATAGAATATCCTGAGTTGGAAGGTACTTAGAAGATCATCAAAGTCCAATTCCTGGCCCTATACAGGACAACCCCAAAAATCACAGCACATAACTGAGAGCATTACCTAAGTGATTGAGCTCTGGCAGGCTTAGTGCCATGGCCAGTTCTCTGGAAAACCTGTTCCACTGTCCAGCAACCCCCTGGGTGAAGAACCTTTTCCTAATATCCAGCCTAAACCTCTCTCTTGAAAAAAAAAAAAAAAAAAAAGCTAAAAGAAAACCTGAACACTGGCCTACCCCTCAGCTGAGCATTGCTTGGGCACTGCCACGGGCAACTCAGTGAGTGCACTCAGTATTTTCCTATTTACATATATATGCACAGGAAAGAACAGGTCAAAACCAGTCTGCTAGTTCTTCCTTCTAGGAAGGTGGGACTGCCCTCCCACCACTAATGCTGAAACACTCTTCAAAAGGGATCAGTGCAAAAGTTATTTATTTTTTCTAAAAGCAGCTGAGTCTTTATTTGGTATGATAAATGCAGAGCTGCCACAGGCCAGGCTTGCTGGGAGTGCTAAGGTTAAGGTGCAACTGCACATTTACCCTCACAATCAAGTTAAGCTTGCAGCCCATTTTCAACATAAGCCTACTCTAGCAAAACAATTTGTCCTTTAATCAAAGCAACAATGACAGGCTCACAGACTCCAGCTATTTTAAATGCACTCAGATGGGTCCAGATAATTGTTGGTGAGTAAAGAAAAGCTTTGAAGTTTTTGAATCCAGCAACAAAAGCTGAGCCATGTGAGGAAAGAGGCATGGCTGGCAGGCTAGCTGCTGCTGCCATCTCCTCATGGGAATTTGTAACTCTTCTATTAAATCCTTCTCAAAGGTGCTTTCTTCTTCTCCTCTCTCTGTAACCCTCATGTAAGAGCCCCTCAAGAGCATAACAACAGGATTAATGTTTTTATACACAGGAAGGTAAATTAGAGCCTTGCCCTCTGTATTCCTAAAGCCAGTATTAAAAAGCTTATTTGATGTGGAAGATTCCTTAAAATTATAATGAATATGATACGATTGACCTTATCTGCAATACAGAATCATACCCTGTCTTTGAGGTACCAAGGGTTATGCCAAGCATTGAAAAAGTTTCTTTCCAAAGTCCTAAAGAAAAAAAATCTCAAGTACCTCCTAACAAATGACCAGATGACTGAGACATCAGTACAAGCCCAATATTAAGATCTGACTTCCCTGTAGGATACGTTTGTTGATGTAATCTGCAACATATCTACTAAAAATGAGAAAACAAGTGAATGAAATTGAGAATAGCAGGCTATTCAAAACTAAATGCAGAATATAATTTAGTTTCATCAGAAATACTTGATAAGCTGCATCTTTAGCTCAAATACATTCTTAATAAGAAAATTAAATTCAAGCATAAACTAATGTCAAGAGCACCTTTTGTCAACTGGATGCACTTCCTTTTGCAAAAATGAAATTCAAACAAGACTGCTATATTTCAACTGTAGACATCACAATACAGTGGCATCAAATAAAGTCTGCTATTACGTGAATAATATTATCTACTATGCATTAATATAAATATACATCAATAGGAAAAAAAAATCTGGGCCAAGAGCACTTTAGCAAAAAAAAAGTTACTCTTGGCACCATCTGAGTACTTGGGAACAGTCTGGACAATACTGAATGGGCAAGCTTAAAGCCTATATATAAATTAAGAATAAAAACTGGAAGTGTTTTCACTTGAAAAGCAACTAAGAAGTTTAAGGCACTCCCACCTATACATTAATTTGTTCCATAAACAAAGGAAAGACAGATTTTGACACCTTTTATGTCAAAATTAAGAGGGCATCATACAGTATCATAGAAGCAGCATAAATTCTGCACTCAGATTTTCTTTAGTTTTAAGCCTCCTGAATACTTGAACCTGTAGTCCATCCAGTCAGGTATCCAATCCATCCAGCTTTATCTTCACTTCAAACATGGTTTGCTTTTCAGGCAGGCTAACAACTTGGTTTTTGTTTTGCCCCCCATCAGCATCTCAGTGCATTTGGATGAATCACACCAGTTGATCTTCACACTACATGAAGCACCTGCAGAAAAACATCCTGCGTGTATTGCATATATTTATGTCCATGGTATGGTATTACCTGCTAAATAAGGATAAGCTACAGAAACCTCAGAAGAACTATCCACACAGGAATGCCTCTGGATTTTGTAGATGAAAAGGAAGTGTCTGATCTAGGAAATGTCACTAGTAATAAACCCACTTTCAGAGTATCTCCCACAACATGTAGAGAACAAAAGTAATGCCTTTTTTCCTGATGTTTAAAAGAAACATTATTCTTCTCACCAGTTAATGGAAGCCTGCCTTGCAAGATAAATTCCTGTTGAATGCTGTTTCTCAGGACACAACCTGATATAGATGTATGGATGTGGGAGCAGGGGGTTTTCAATGATAAAAAGGAATACAGGCAAAGGTCATATGCAGATTTATGAAAAATAAATTTATTACATAACACCTTGTTTTAACAATGCTTGATTTTTTTTTACTCAGAATACTTGTGTCATTCATGTAAAATAGTTTGATACAGTACATTGTATGTAAGTTTTTCCTCATAAATTCTAAGGCTCTCCTAACATCTTGTTCCTCTGCAGTAGGAATGGCACCCCTAAACAACGTGCGAACATTAAAAAAAATTAACTGAACAAAATTTAAAATCCACTACACCAAGCTGGTTCTCAAAAATCATGACAAAATATCTGAATGGATGCCGCACCTTTTTAGGAAATATCACTCATGCTTTTTTAATCCCAAAGCATGCTCACAAATCATTAACACCAACAGGAAAAAAATAAAACACTGTCTGTGACAATCATTTTAGTTTGTTTGCTGAACCAAACATGTTTATATCAATGACAACATACTTATTTTACTATCAAATAGCAGCTTTAATACCAGTCAAGTCATAGATTTCAAAACAAAAACAAAAACTTATGTTGGAAATAAATCTTTGGGACGCTTGTAATTGCTGGGAAAAAATGCGAACGCTTCCATGTTCTTAAAAAAATCTCATTGTAGCAATCATGTCGGTCATAAAACATCGATCTAGCTGGAAAATGAACCAACCCACAAAAGTCACTAAAAATAAATGTCTATCAAAACTGTCTGAGAGTTACGGTTAGTTTGCTTTTTTGCCGTGGTAACATATACTGTATGCTTCAAGTACCAGTTTAAAGATGTCATGTACTATTGGTCAGATGAAGTTGTTACATCAAGAGAATTCACCACATACGACAACAAAAATGCTTGCCCCTAGCACATTTCACAGCTTCACCTGCTACAGACTGTCACTGAAAAAAATGCATCGGTCAGTCTGAACCATGTCAAGTAAACTACAGAAGTAGCATATCCACAACACAAACCGTGCTAGCACTTTCTTTTCAAGTCTAACCCAAAACCAGGTACAACGTGGGAGCCCCCCCTCGGCCCCGTGGCAGGGGGTGGCTCGTGGCGGTGGGACAGGTGGGAGGTGTGGTTGTACAGTACATTCTCTGGCCCAAGCCGGGCTCCTGGCACGCAGCTGCGGCCGGTCCTGCAGCATCAGCGACAGCGCATCGACGGCACCGGGTGCAGCTCAGTACCGGTGGGTCTGGTGCGAGTACTGCGGCGGCTGCTGGGAGGTAGCTGAGTATCCCATGCTGCTCTGTGGCTGCGATGTGCTTGGTCCGGGGTTGGGGTAGGCAGCATGGGGGTTGGAACGCTGCAGGGGGGGAAGCACAGACATACAGCCCTTCGTAACACAGACATGGCAACACTATTTCACCTACTGACTCGTTTCTTCAGAGGCACCCAGCACACAAAGTCTCAAAGCAGCTGCACTTCCAGGTTTTGTTTCACTGAGTCTGACTACAGCAGGTAAAAGACATCAGGAATACCAGATCAGAAAGTGACAGCTGCCACCCTTCTGCTATCCACCCTAATGGGAATCTTCACCCATCACAGTCAAACCTCCAGCCAACCCTCTAGATGGCTACTGAGCACCTGCACATGACACTGGGCTACCACCACTCACAGCAGTGATCTTCCCCACTTGCTCCCTTCTCCTAGCAGGAAGGTAAGGCTGCGGTGGAGGTCCAGCTGAGGCATCTTACTGCTGATGAGCCACTGCCTTAATCTGCAGATTTTCACACCTAAGAGGACATACTTGCCACCCTTCTGTGTGACCTAGGAGAACAGGCTGAGAGCACTGTGACTGGGCTAAGGTGTCACCTATCAGCACCTATAAAAATGCTCAAAGGAGAGTTTAAAGACAACAGCGAAACGTTCCTCAGTAGAACCAGATATTTCAGGGAAAACGTCCTTAGGTTGTGGCTTGGGAATGTCAGATGGGACACAGGAGGAAGGACCAGTACAGCACTGGAAGAACCTGCCCATAGAGTCTGTGAGCTCTCTCTCTCTATGAAGGTTTTTAAGACTCAGCTTAACAAAGCTGAGCTAATCTGAGTGAGTCAGAACTAGCAACAGCCCTGCTCCAAGGGGGAGATTTGGCTAGATGGTTTCCAGAGGCCCCTTTCAACCAACTCCCACAATTATTTGAGTGGAGAAGCAAGAAGCTCTCAGCAAACCAGGAAGTGCCTACTTCAATTTTAACCTAAAAGTTATTATTTACTGATGATGTGTTTGTTATAAAGGAAAGCAGGACTGCCTATGAGATTTGCAGTTAGTATCTGACCACTTTGTAACATTTAACATTTCATTAAACTAACACAAGTTCAGTACATTACTGCACTGGTTTACATGCCCTCACAAACTTTGCAGCATTTAGAAACTGTGTAGCTTCTGAATACTTGATACCACAGGACATATGTTTTTTTAGGAAAAGCTGCTTCTAGAAGAGGTCTGAAAACTTTACTAAAAAGTAACTAATCCAGGACTAGGGCATTGCTACTGAGACCTGAATAGGAAAAAACTGTGGTGAACCAACACCCTAAGAAAGTAAAATATTAAGTCACAACATAAAATAAAAACACCAATTTTTTCTTGTACAGCATTTAGAACAGTAGCTACACCCAGGAAGCTGAGATGCTGGCAGAAATAAAAAAGGCATACTCTACTTGTTAACACACACTCACAGGACTGAGCTAATGTCTCTCTTAGAGAAACGGCTGGACCAGCACTTAATGTCAGTGGGAACAAACCAGCACTGCTGATCCACACCATTAGCACAGTGACTGAACTTTGTGGACATTTGCCTTCAGCCTTGAGAAGACTAAGTCACTCATCAAGAGAAAGGTCACAGCTCTGGGTCACCCTTCTCCATGTTACAAACAGAGGATGCACTTCAAAGAGCAAAAGTCTTGAATGTTGGTTTTGCCCATGTGTGGCTCCTGTATGTAGGAAACCATCACAAGTTTAACCATTTAAAACTGACCACTCATTTCAGTTGTAAAACACTCCCTGCATCCTGACTTCTAAAACAGATCTTATTTTAAGACAGAGGCAATGAAAAATCAGATTCCTTCATGACACCAGAACAACAAATGGCTTTTGTTTAAGAAAAAAACTATCCAATCCTTTCTAAACACTATTAAGCACCCAAAGGGTTATCCCAAGCTCCAGCCTGAATTGCTCCAGCCTGCTTAATCACATTGCCTTTGGAAGTGTCACATTGCAGACTGAAACAAGGAGGCAAGTCTGTGTGCCATGTGTACTATTTTTATGCATGTCAGAAAAGGATATGAGGTCAATGTGCCCTGCAGAGTAATTTGACTTCTGAGTGAATGCAGAAACTGCCTTAGTGTTCCTTGCCCAGGAGATGGCAATCCTTCTTCACAAGCTTTATATGGGGAATTTGAGCAAATCAAATGAAGAACAAAGGAACAGGTGTTTGATTAAAACAGAAGGCTGTATTGTAATGTTTGTTTTCCCTCTCCTCAAGCTGCAGGATCAGAAGCAAAAAATGTGAGGAATTTTTTTCAGGGAGACCTGAAACCATCAGTTGGAAACTCTTAACTGCTTTTGTTCTAGTGCTGGCAAGTTCAGGTCTCCTCTCTTTGTCTTCCAGACACCTTAATCAGAATAAATCTACTGACTGCCTCTTTGCAAGGCTAGGGGGAAAAGGATATCTTTTTTTGAAAACCAGAGAGACTGTCTCTCCTAGAGACAGCAGAAAGATTGGTCAGGAGCAGTCAAGTTACCAGTAAGAGCTCTTGAGACAGAAAAACAGCAGGTGTCATTATCTTAAGGGAAAAGTAGTCTGAAACTAATGTTTGTCAACAAGGGCTCTCCCCAGCTGTAATCCCAGGATGTATCTTGAGTACAAAAATTCTGATGAGCACAAACTAAGAACAAATCAATGCCAACTCCGGCCAAGCAATTTGAGTCCTCTGACTTGTCAGCCAGCAAACCTCAGCTCTGGCTCACAGGAGCTGAAGTTTGTTCAAAATGCCACAATACAGCAGCAAAATGAGGTGAAGGTCATGTAATTGGGGCTCCCTGACACAGTACACACAACCTCTGAATCAACCTCCTTAGATGTGTGACTCCACCCGAGGGCAAGATTAAGAAAGTTACAGCTGCATTTGCCTTCTGCTCTGTGTGTGTGTTTTTAAGAAGTGGAAGAAAGAGACAATTAAAAGGCCAAAACAGCAATTGACTGCAGCTTGCCAGATTGAAAGGGATGAAACTCCTGTAAGAGCACCTGTGATGGATAATCTTACTAAAAGAAAGATGACATTTATACTTAGAGGCACCCCACCCTGCAGAACTATAGTTAAGGCTCACCACCGTCTCAAACAGCTCTAAAAATGTATATTGTTCAGGGAGAATGACTTGCAAACTGATGTGTTATTGATGTCCTGGGATAAACTGAACAAAGGCACTTGGTGACTATATGAAGGGTGTCACAAAAAAAGCTCCTGAAAATGAACTTTATATTTTTGTAGTACTTTCAAGTTTTGGCCAATGCTGAGAGTACACAGACTTAGATAAGGATGAAGGTAATGCCCCCAGGCAGCTTCTGAAGCTATCTGGTACTCTGAGGAACAAACTGTGAAACTCAAGATTTCAAAGCCTACTGGTGGTTCATGGAGAAGCTGTATCCAGCTGAAAGGGAAGTTGACAGCAGCAGCTTTACTGACTCTGTTTTTTAACTCTCCCTATGTTTTGCTATAGACTGCAAGCCCAGCTAAATGGATTTCCATTACTAGGCTCTCACATTTGGATATCAACATTTAAATTAACTGAAAACATTGCCAGTAGTTTCCAACTTCCCCCCAGGCCATCCAAGACTGTCTGGCCACCTGTACTGCACATTCCATGTGAACCAGTATGCAATGGTTAGTTCCTGCAGGCTAACATTTCCAACAGCATGCCTCCTCTTGAAATCACCTATTCCCTGCTGTTCTCCAACTGCTCCTGTGAATCATTTGAAGGCTTCCCTGCTCCTCTTTTGTAACTTCTAAGCTTGTATTAACTAAAGGTTCTGTCCTTAACCCTCTTCCTCCCCATCTCCAGTAGTAGCCTTATCCAAACCCAAAAATTCAGGTATTATTTTTTGGGATGACAAAGATATTCTTATACTCCAGGCTATGATTTCTTAATGTCTGACCACAAGCTCAAATGCAGGAAGGCCAGAAGACATTTTTCAAGTTTTCCTTTAAGTGCTTTTTCCCAATGCGCCTCCTCATCTTCCGCACTCATTGACTGCCACCACCTCACCTATCCTCAGATCTGCAATATTTGGCTTACTCAACCTCGAATGTCCCTTGATCTTCAAAAAAGATCATGACAACATCATGCCAAGTCTTTGTCATCCAAAATACTGTTTCTGCATCCATCAACCCAACTAAAACACTTGTTCAAATTTTTATTTCACAGCTCTTTTACTGCAACATCCTCTGCCGCCTACCACTGCACGTTTGTTCAAGCAAGAAATGGCATTTTTAGGTGATACAGAACACAGCATAACAGGCTCCTGGTCCATTACCATTAGCATTCCCTAATATGAAGGTGATAATTAGTAACTCTAATAATGTCTGATCCTAATTTCTTTACTACTAACCCAAAGAACATCAGGATATCAACAAATCATCAACTAAGTGAATCAGAAAAAAAAAAAAAAAATTCTAGAAAGTAACAGTTAATACAGTGGCATTTACAAAATTACTTTTTTAGTTTGAAGAAACACTGCTCTAAACATGAAAAGCAAATACACAATATGTGAATAAAACAAAATACCTGATAGTCTGAGGTCATAATAAGTCCACCTGAGGTAGTGGTAGGAGGAACAACTCTCACTTTTTTCAGTGGGGGTCCCTGTGTGTGACTGTTGTCTTGGTTCCCTGGATGACCAGTTCCATTAGTATGGTTATTGCCCTGCTGCTGCTGCTGGTTCTTCTCAATTGTTTAAACACAAAGAAAAATTTCAACTCAAAAGCAGTACATGAGATAACATAAAATCAGGAAATAGTGTAAAAGCCAGTGAAACATGATGATACTGTTCTTCTAGTACTTACTTTGTCTCCTTTATCATCTGGTTCTTCTTCTGTTAAAAATTCTCGTTTTGGGTAAGGGATTTGACAACCTGCAAAAACACTGTCCCCCAAAAAAGTCTATTTATCACTGTATTAGAACAGAAGGGTTAGACCTGTAAGATTCACACTTTACCCATGATAGTTTCAAGCTGCCTAAGCCTTTAATACCTGTAACTAAGAGAGATGTTCTCCCTGTCTGACTATCACCATATTCTAAACTTTATAGAAACATATCCACATTTGATTTTAATGTTCATTTGCATCTTATATAATAAGTTAAGGTCCTAGCAATTTTTTTGTTGGTTAGAAAGGTACATCACTTGTTAGGTATCTACAAGGGCACAAAGAGCTATCTCACTGTAGCTATTGTGTAATTCACAGTCTCAGGACTAACTAAAAATATTCCTGGAAACTTCACTGACTATTAAAAAACACCACCTGGAAAAAGAGTTTAAAAGTGACTAGAAATTTCACCTACAACTCGTATCTCACAGTCCACATGGATGTGCTACTTCTAGTCCAAGCTAATATTTACCTGCCCTTTATCAGTAGAATGTATTTATAATAAAATCTCTGTACACCTGTTAGCAATACTCATTGTGTATTCACATTGAAACGTCAACCTAAATTTGAGAAAAAAGCCAAACACTATCCTAAAAGCAGTTTCTGCAACAGCCAATCATTCACATGACTTTAAATCACAGAGACAGCTCAGGAGATGCTATAAATAATCCAGCAGGCTTTAGTGAAATAACTTCATTTTTAATTAATTCCTTATAAGTATACATATTTTATAAATTCTTCCCCACATAAGGGTAGAGAACCACAGTCAGGATGCACTAATAGCTTTCCTAAAAGGGTGTACAGTCAGGCTCTCTGGCTAGCCTTTTGGAAGAAGGGCTTAATTTTTAATGAAATCATTCATTGTCCATAAATTTTCTCCCTTTTGTAAATCTGCCTGTGCAAACAAAAAAGAGGAGTGTCTACAGAAAATGGATTTAAGTTGTTAAGGATGACAGCACCGAGACACACACTGAGACTTTCCCCACCCAGTGAATTTACAACAAAGGCTAAGACAAAAATGTAAACTAATTAGAGACTGTCATCTGGCATTCTGAGGCAGAGAAGCGGACCTGCGGGCACTTAGCAGTTGTCTACCAAGATCTGTAGCATGCATAATCAACCTGTCAGTGAGTAACAAGATTAGTGCTGCAACTAATAGGATCAAAGTTCCATAAAGCAAGAGATTAATAAAAATGCTACTTAATTTTAAAAACCACGGATGGCATTTTAGTGGTTATAGCTTTTTTCGCTTGTTAGGCAGTATTTAGCTCAATATTCACAAACATACCTAGGGCAGAGAGAAAGCACAGTTCTAAAGCATCTCTGAATGCACTGATAGGTTAATAAACTGACCACTTACTCGGACGTGGGAAGAGGATCTTCCAAGAAGTAAGGATCCTGCATAGCCTGTTCTGAGGTAATTCTCTTTATTGGATCCATAGTGAGCAATTTCTGAAGCTAAAAAAAAAAAAAAGAGAAAAAAGAAAAAAACACCTTTACATTACCAAAACCATTTATAGAAACTTCACTGTATTCCTGAAAGTTAAGATGATACAAATGTCTGAACTCAAAAGCCTAACCCTAAATGGTATAACCACATTCTTCTGCCCTGTTAAAACAGTAATTTCATTTCCTACCAAAGGACATCTCTTTTCACTTACAAAGCCCAGGACTTTCAGTTCCAGTCACAAGTGTTCTATCAAAACCATTCAAAAAGTTTCCACAATGTACCAGCACCTTTAATCACAAAATAATTTGACCTTTTGAGGTCAGTTAGTCCAGTCCTCTGCCATGGGCAGGGACACCTTTAACTAGGCCAGGTTGCTCAGAGCCCTGTCCAGCCTGACCTTGTACACTACCATGTGTACATGGGGCATTCTGAACTTTGTGCAACTTGTTCCAGTGCTTCATCACTCTCTGAATAAAGAATTTCTTCCTAATGTTTAATCTAAATCTACCTTCTTTCATTAGAAAGCCATTATGTCTTGTTCTATCAAAAGAATGTTCCTCTCCAGCTTTCTTGGACTTTCCAAGTAGTGAAAGGTGCTATAAGGTCTTCTGGGAGCCTTCTCTTCTCCAGGCTGAATAAGCCCTGCTCTCTCACAGCCTGTCTTCAGAGGAGGGGTGCTCCAGACCTCTGATCACCTTAATGGCCCTTCCCTGGACATAGCACCCCAGATGAGGCCTTGTGAACTAGGAACACCATAGGCTAACTATTTTATTTAGCTCTAGTGTTGAGTTGCAGTGATGCATTCTTAAAACTACATGTTTCTTATTCAAGAAGTCTGGTGTACATGCATATACTTCTCTCCATCCACCCAAACAGCTGTGGAATACAGCTGTGCTGGACAAGCAACATGAGATAACCTTCAGATACCACACAGAAAAATAGTGAGTTTTCATGTTTCACCAGCAGTGTCCAAGGCAAAACTACAGCACGACATATTGTCCAAGACTCAAAAACAAATGCTTCAATTTTAACCTGTAGTGGGGTTTTTTTAACAAGAAAATACATAAGTAAATAGAATTAAATTTACATTTCCTATTCATACTTTCTGATAGGATTCATACATTCACCTTTTTAAAAAGATCCCCTGTCGTGATCTAAATCTGAACTGGTCATCTCCTTTCACTAGGAGAAATTCATAACTGCATGTGAGAATTCATAACTGCAATGCAAATTTCCATACTTCAAAAGCTGAGGCTGAGGTAGTACATTTCCCTCTTCAGCCTTCACTTTCGACAGCATGGTTAAGAACTTGATAACTATGAATTATCACCATCAATCCAGTTTTGCTTTTCACATCATCCACAAGAACTCACAGTAAGTTTTTTCAGCTCTCTGAGTCTACATTAAGTTTTTATAGAATAGCATATTGAATAAGCCAATTCTTACTCTCTCAAAAAGCATTGCCAAGAGCCAGAAAAGGCAAAACATGACAAAGAACTGCTAACACACAGAAAAACACAAATAAAAAGCACTGCAAAATACTAGCATAATTTGTGGTGATTGGATTCTAGAGCTGTTCATCACATTATGAATGTTGGTCGTGATCAGCCATACAAAAAGAAATTAACATAACCATGCAACCAGTATCCACCCAGGGGATCAAAACTTTGGTTCTGCTCCCTTGTACAGGTGCCACACAGAAGCGAACCTTCTAAATATTATTACAAATATTTTCTATTTTAAAAACTGCTTGATGTAAAGATCACCTTACTAAATGACACAATTTCATACATCATGAATTAATGGGACAATCACTACAGTTTATATGGACCAAAGTAATCACATGGAAGATCAAAAAAATCGGGCATATAGGAATTTTTAAAAGTAAAAATAAGCTATTGAAAGTATGTAAAGCAGCAAAATGATTAAGGATTGCAGCAACACTGCAAATGTAACTACAGGCTAACACAAGTGTAACATGACTTAAAGAACAAAAACTTCAAAACTGCTTGATACTGAACCTAATCCAGTGAATGATACTCAGAATCATTTTATCAATGTAAGAAGATATTTCACCAATATAAGATAAAGTGATTTTGAAATTTTCAGATTGCAGAGTATCAATTATTCCTAACTTAATTTATAAAGTTAGGTACAGTAGATTTGACACCAGGTCAACTGTTACTTGAAACAACTGTAGCATATATGAGGAATTTGATTTTTTAAGTCTGCAGGAACTTACCAAGTGGAATGCCTTACTATCTGGTTTAACTTTATGTTTTTCCATATATTTGATAAGGCTGCAGTTGGTATACCTAGAAAGGAAACAGAAGTGGTATTTCTAATATGTAAAACATTGATACTGCAAAGTTTTCCTGGTAGCCACAAAACATATTAATAAGAAAAGTTTAGCCTCCCTGCAGATTCAATAAGCTGGGAAAAATCACAACTATCAACACCAGAGATTGCTTAAAAATCAGAACTGCAGAAAGGCATGTTTCCCTCACATCCTTATAAAAGCATATCATACCCACACAAAAAGCACACTTTTAACCCACATGCAAACAGCAAACTATCAACTGGATTTTAAACTGCCTTGTAGCAATTTTACTACTTTACTGTTTGATTCTGTGTATTTCTCATGACAGTGAAGATATATAATCAGCTCATCTGAATGCTCTCCTGCAACCTACAGGCTGCTACAAGAACATTCACATGTTTACTTTTTCTAAAAGAGAAACTCAAAGAAAAGGTTTCTAAATGGCTGCAATAGCATGGCAGATGCAAGAAATGTAAGTAACTATACAGCCCCAAATGCCTTAGCACAGAAATCAGGCAACAGGGTGGCATTTTAAGCACAGGTATTAGCCTGTGGCAATGTGACAGCAAAGCTGAAGGGTATTTTTTTCTTTTGTCATTGTAAACTACCCTAGAGACCAAACCTAACAATTATTCACACTGTTTGCTGGAAATGGTATAAGGTTACCAGACCCCTTTTAAGCAGCTATTACAGAAAATCATTGCCAGTACCAGAGATTTGGGAACAGCTGTGCTTTGACACACTGTGCTTTGCAAACTTCAGAGCTGCACGGGGTCTTACTGGCATCACCTGTTTCACACCTGCCACCTTACCCTTTACAGCCTCTGGCTACTCTTCTGATCCACACCACCTCAGGAGGCCAAGTTCACCATTATGAAACAACTTCATTTTTCATTTTTCACAATCTAAGTCATAACAATTTCATAGTCCTTGTTTGGCATCTACGTAGAAAACAACTCAAACTGCAAAAAATTTAGTGTAGGAGAAAGATATAAAATATGCTTTATTAAGAAAGCTCAACCCAGACTTACGTGTTTCTCCGAAAATCTTTCATTAAGGTTGAATGTTCTGGCATCTTTTTTATGTCTTCCCAATCTTTATCTGCAAAGCAGTATTAATTATTTTTTCCCCTTTCTATCTGAGTAAAACAAAGCATTTCCAAGTACCTCCACAGCTTTGATTTTTATTTTTAAATTCCGCTTCGTTAACCTTGCAGTTTCTTATGTCTTTGTACTCCCTAGCTCCTATTCCTTCATCACCTCTTCACAATAAATCATACCAACACCTAAGAGGTTCCAGCTGTGCGCTGATTAACTCAAGAACTTGAAAAAAAGATGCCAGCTACAGTGACCACAAAACAACCCTGAACAAAAACCCATCAGGTCTTGTGCTTGAACCCCTCAGGACTGTTACTTAATTTGTTTAGACAAAGCTGTGATCTCAGGACAGGAATACACAGGACTCCAGCAAACCCTGCCTCCTTCTAAGGGATTCTCTGTTCTGACAGCACTTTTAGTTACAGGAAACTGCCTAGAGGTACTTCAGCAAAGTAAGATATACTGTTACTAAACAAGAATTTAAGAAAAAGTGAAGTTTGCACAGTCAAAATGAAGAATAATTCACCTCAACTAAAATGGATTTTAGAATTAAACAAAAAACTCACTACCAGCACCTAGCCTCAAATGTCTTAAGCTCCAACTCTTGAAAAAGGCTCTGTGGGCAACTAATTTGGTACAATTCAAATCTTTACTAAGTCTGATCACTACTGCAGAACACTGACTTTAAAAGCATTAAATAAATTAATAAATCACGCATAATTATTTAATTACTTAGTTAAACAAAATACTCTATTCTTTCCTATCCCATAGACATGAGAAACTGTTTCAGATATGGCAAGTGGCAATTAAAATGCAAAAAATTGCTGCAATTGAATGAAAAGCATTTCTTGATAGAAAACAAAGAACTCCAAAGGTCAAATGCAGACCATTAGAAAGGACTAATTAAACCAATCAGAAAACCAAAATGAGACTATGAGCTACTTATATAAGCTATACAGAACCAATGTAAAACCCAAATGAACTACAAAAAAATATAAAAGGGTAAAATACTAGTTCAAAAGCAGAAGGGGACAGTTGAAGAAGCAAAACTAAGGAGACAATATGCAAAGGTAACATTTTTGCGAATCTCATACAGCAGTACCGAAACAATGAAGTACATATACACCAAAAAAGGCAAAAGCAAAAATAACAACATGTTTAATAACAAAATTCTAGAACCACCACAAACATAGAGACCACAAAAGTCATGTGAAAGGAAGAGGCAAGTTCAGGGAAAAAACCCAACAACATAATTAATAGTGGAGTAGGGAAAACAGGCAGTGAGGAGAAAGATAAACAAGAAGTAAAAATAAGGTCTCTGTTACTCTGACTCCTGCAATCATGTGAACACTAGAAGACAAAGTATTAACTGAAGAAGCAAGGCAGCCTGCATAAAAACAAAATCTAACCAACAATGAGGGGAAAATGCAACAAATTATATCCCCACTGTAATTTGTTTTGGTTCATACAACCAGTTCTTTCTTCTGTTTTGGAATAAATAATTGTTTTCTATACCACCAGCTTTCCACCAGGTAGGGGGAAAAAACCCCAAAACCCTCCATTACTTCCAAATGCTACATTTAATTTTGCATGAGCTAAACAAATGCCTAATATTCACTAAATATATATTTTTTTGCTTGGTTTCATTAATCAATCACCTTTCAAATCAATAATCAGTACTGAAGCAATGTAGAAATATTCCTTCTCATTTTTAATCACCCAGCATTAAATACAATCTTTTAAAATAATAAAGCATTGGTACATGTATACACAAAGATAACCCTGGCATTAATAAAAGGGAAAATATCTAATTTGACCATTGGATTCTAGATTTATAACTCATGAAATAAAGATTGTGTTTGAACAGCTTTGTTGCTTTGATCAGCTGCCACCTTCATATGCAAAGAAAGCAATATGGATATCTTTCTTTGAACAGTGGTGATAAAAAATACAGTATGTACCTGCAGGAAATCCCATTACATTGAATATTCTGTCCAGCTGGTCATGGTGATAAGGATTACTAGTTTTGATATCTTCTTGTCGACAATGGAATATTGGCTCTGATGTTAGCAGCTCTGCAAATATACACCCTATGGCCCAAATATCTTTAAAAAAGGAGAACAGAAATAAAAGAAGAACAAATGAAACTTTCCAAAACCATCTGGATGAGGTAGAATGTTAGTGCTTAGCTTATCAGAGATAAGGTCAAGTTTCTATTGTAGAAGTGCAATACTTCCTCAACTTTTTCTTTTAGCTTTCAATGGAGGTACCCAATTCAGAAACTACACAGGAGCTGAGAGAATAGCATATGAGTTTTTGTGGTGTTTTTGAAGTGTAGTTACCACTTAACATTGTAAAAAATTAATCTGGTTAAGAATAAAAGTGAAGGAAACTAAAAAGTGAAGGGTCATGGTCAACACACAAAACACAAAGAAAGTAAAGCCAACCAGCATCTTGCCCTTTTAATGCCACACTGTCCTGACAAAGAAATGTGCAATCACTGATCAGCCAAGTTTAAGTATTAAAGTAGTAATGTAGTATTTAAAAAGTAAATGATCCCAAAAGTACAAGCTGAAAAGTAGTGGTATTGGTATAAACCAAATGCTATCTATAACATTTAGTGGAAAGATAGTAACATGCAAATTGCTACAAACCCACACACCACACAACTTTTCCATAACATTCATTTAAATAAACCCCCAAGCCCTACAACCTTTCTCTTTTCACTGTTGCTCTCCTATCTAATAGTCAGATTGCCTGAATCTTCCCAGTTGTTTTCTCAATTCTTTTCTGGTATCTACAAACACAATTTTTAACTCAAAGTGGTGCTATACTGAGCCTTGAATGAACAAGGTCATAAACAAGGACAAAAGCAAATAATTCCATTACTCAGTGTTTTTACAAAGTCATTTTTTATCTACACTGAAAAAACTATGTACTAAAGGCTATGGCTGCCCATGCAGTTTCATACACTGCAATCAGAAAAAACAGCAGTAAAGTGAGGGAACATGCAAACACAACAAATTAAGCAGTTTGAAGGAACATATAAAAATTCATCTGATCTATAAAAGAAACACTATTAGCAGAAAAGTAAACAAGAATACATTTAAGGCATAAACATTAGAATTGCTGACAGAAACACAGGTATGATCTTTAACAAAAGAAAACAAGAAAAAAAGATTGAGCTCTGAAGAAGACTTTCAGGTTACAGAAACAACCTAGTATGCTGACAAACAACCTCCATGTCTGTACAAAGAGGAGTAGCTAATAGGGAAGTTATTTCCTCCCAGAATTGGTTGCCAGCCTTTAACACATCTTTTAAACCAGGCAGCAAGAGAAAACCTTCCTAGTGCTTTTCCCTATAGTCTCTCTCCCTTCCATAGCAAAGCTGATCAATGCAGTAAAAGTGAATCTAATCTCCCTCCTGTTTGCTGCTGGGCTGCTCCCCTATTCTACAGCCCACAAAAGCTCTGGCCATCTGTCATCTGTCTTTGAAAGACACAGAGAGGCTAAAATGCAGCTTAATTTTACATTTTAGCTTCAGTGCAGCCACAATAGTCTCCATTTTGTACATTCTTTATTTCATATATTTATTACACTAGGTAATAACCTCGGCAATAAATTTAATGCACTGTGCCTCACAGTCATCCTAATATGAATTCAACTAGCCGTTCAAAGATGCGTTCATATTTTCTTTTTATCAGCTCTAACAGCATTTATGAAAGTCCTGTGTGAAAGCCACAAACTTAGATTGCATTGCAGGGCATTTGGAGCCAAAACCAGCAATATATTTCATTTCTATATATAGCCTGAGACTCCAGTAAATGAATCAATTTGTCAAAGATTAATATTTCTTCAAGAAGCAAGTAACATACCTTTAACTCAGCTACTTTTCTTTGAACAATTTATTAAAGCTTTAAAATTTGGGCACAGTTTACATAAAGAACAAAACAGTACATTTTTGTCCAATTTACTTACCAATAGCTTTGGTATAATGCCTTGCTCCAAGAAGCAACTCTGGAGCTCGATACCAGAAGGTTACAACTACTGGATCCAAGTCTGCTAAAGGCTTCAGAGGTGAATTAAATAATCGGGCAAAGCCCATGTCAGCTGTAAAATTCAAAGAGAGATGCTTTAAAATTTGAGAGAAACTAACAATCTTGGTTTGTTTTTTTTTTTTTTTGAACAAACTGATTGAGTTTACTTGTTAGCACTATCATTACTCCTAAATCAAATGCAAAGGCACACTGTAGCAGGTATGAACTCTCTGAGCAGATTTTCTTTCTGCAGAAGTTACTGGGTGGCCTATGAAGTATATCACCTATGAAGTATATAATTATAAATCATTACTAACACGAGTCCTTTACAACAATGAATTAACCATTGTTCTGAAGAAGTGCATCAACTCCTCAGGACAGTGGTAAATCCTGACTCATTTTACCTTATGTTTTCTGGTAAAATACTCCCATTATTACAGGATGTTTTTTTCACAAAGCAGCAATTTTTAAAGTGAGCAAAATGCAGATTCTGCAAAGGTTAGAATGATTTATAATACATACGTGCACATGACAAAATCTTTCTCTTCATGAATTTAGCTGTGGCAAGACTTCCTTCACACAAAAGCAGCACCTAAGCCTACAGCATCTGCCTCTCTGCTGATTTTCTATCAAGATGCAATTCCAATATCAATATACCAGGGCTGAATACCATTCAGACTATGATTTTTAAATTTTGGTTGTGGGCATTATATCATTAAAAACTGCTTTCTAGCATTTGTAGTGTACAACTGCCTAGAAAGTTGTCTGAACAACTAAATATAAGTCATACAGGAAAAAAGGGGCAGAGACTAAAATATGCAGCTTCTCCCATGAAATTGCTTTCCTCATCCACCAACCATGAATCCCAAGACAGAGGGACCCTATATGTAGGGATATTCATATGCTGAGAAAGACTTGAATGAAATGAGATGAGTAGCTACCCTGAGGGAAAAGGACCTGCATGCTCAATAAGGGAATACTGCAGTGTAAATACAGGTCTCTAACTTGACTACACAAACCTTAACTATTTTTTCATACGCATTCCTATTTATGATTGCTTTAATGCATTTAAAAAGAGAAACATTTTACAGTTTCCTACACTAAAATATCAATTACTCAAAACTGGTCAAGTCACTAATAACTATGAATAATAAGGAAAATTGTTGGCAGAAAGTGAATTTATGACCCAAAATGACACAAAACGCCTATAAAAGTTATTTTAAGTTAAATACAAGTTATGTATTTTTTAGAAAAATTAGTTACACTGGAAAAGTGGAAGCCCTTGGTATGTGTGTAATTTCTGCATTCTTTTACTGCTGTGGCAATCTTAAGAAAAAAAAAAAAATCTACATTTTGATAACACACTTCAAATCCAAGGTTCCCCTCCCTCTTGCCCTGCTGGGAATGGATGGCTCAGAGGACTGGTGGCCCAATACAGAATCTTTCAGCTGTCCATTAACAGAGTCTGGCTTAAGTTATTCTCAAATGAATTCAAAACTATGAATTAAGAAATAAATGGGTGGTCTATGTGCAATTACTAGCAAGTAGTTGTGTACAGCAAATATCACCACCACTGTTGAAAGTGAGTCCAGAGGATGACCTACATGCTTTGTTTTGGAAGAAACCCTCCATGAAGACTAAGGTAATATGAAGAAACTTTCTCCTCTGTTGTCCGTGCTGTACCTGTTTTCTGTGCAGACCTCAATCCCTACTGCCAACCTTAAAAACTCAGAAAGGCATTAAAAACTTTCAGAGTAGGATCTGCAGAAGCATTCAACCGTGGCCCATCGCTCCTCGGATTCCAAAGAACAAGTGAAGGCCTAGAACAACACTGAACGCTCCCAGAAAATCCTACCCTGAATCATTCTACTAGTGACTAACAATATAGTTCAGATCAACAAAACACTAAGAGAACAGAGCAACAATGCAGAAGAGTAATCTCACAAAAGAAAGCCAGAGGGAAGTGAAAAAAGATAAACTAGCTTTAAAAAACCCTTCCAAATGGGGCTGCATTACCACAACTAATGTAAGCAGGCTGTGTACTAGTAGCCTGCTATTACAGCACTGCCATAATAATGCATAGTCTGGTACAGTTTATTATTGTTAGACTACTGTTAATTTTTATTTATGTATTTAGTTTAAAACAACTGAACATCTACAAATCATCCTCTCATTCCAAACAGTAACTCCCACCAGAAAATGTTGCAATAGTGTGGAAGTGTTGGGTCCTTTCTAACCTGGTACACCCCAGGATAGGCATTTAGCATCAGCTATTAGCTCTCACTAAATTTCGGATGGATTCCTGTGTTTTCTGCACTTTTAAGATCCCTTGTGTTCATCTCCAAGGGACCTCCTCCTTCAAGAATATCTTCTAGGCTGAATGCCATCTTTGATTCCATTATAAGATTTAAGGTTTGTAGCAATGAGCAGTTCCCTATTTAGATTTTTATAAGCAGCAGCAAGATGTCATGGCATTAGAGGTAAATGGAGGAAATTTTAAAACCACATTTCTTTCTCCTCCTTTCCTCCTAGCTAGCTGTCATCTTTAACCCCACATCAAAATCCCCCACCCCACACAAACACCCACTTAAGCAAAATATAATGACATTTTCCACTTTTTATTGATGAGGCTACAGCATTTCATTGTCAGAACTGGTACATGGGGCTAATATGATGAAGCCAGTCACTCAGAAAACAGCATTTAGGCAATGTGCCCAGGCACATACTGGTATTACAGTGACTACTTTAGGTGGTACAACTGCACCTTCAGAACATTCTAACTTAAATGCTACACTGGGACTTATCAAAGATATAAACATACCAATTTTTACTCTTCCTCGCTCAGGACCTTCACCCATAACTAAAATATTAGCAGGTTTCTGTGGAAAAAAAAATAAATATACAATACATATACCACGATAAACCTAAACATTAGTCTCTGAAAAGTTAATTAAGCTTTGTTTTGCCAGTTTTAAACCAACTTTGCTTTGATAAAAATGACAAATTTCTCCATCACAATAATGCTGTGCAAGGACCCAGACACAGGCTCTCCCTGACTGCATCTTCCTCACCTTTCTTCTCGGCATTGCTGTGCTCCAGCAGCACATTCCCTACTGACACCCTGGTGTCTGTCCTCAACACGCACGAGCTGGCAGCCACCAAGCTGCTGGGATTTCTACCCAAATTGCCCTAGATCCTTCCAGTGGGAGGCAGTCCCACTGCTGCCCACCACCCCAACCACAGGGATGGGAAGCCAGCTCTACAGCAAGTTTTTCCCAGGGTAATTAGGCACATTTGCAGATACATCACACAGAAAAATACAGATGAAACATTACCATATCACTTGATAGTGGAGAGAACACTCATCTAAATTCTTCCTATTTACAAGTGTTTACCAATTCACACATCTGCAAAACTGGAAAGCACTGCCTTTATGTTACTTTTTTGTCTTTCCTTTGTTTCTTTTACTATGGAGGCACATTAAAGAACTGAGCTAGAGTCTGGCTGGTTAGAAACATAACTCACTTTATAATCCTCTATTTTCTGCTGTCCTGTTTCTCATACTCCATTCTCAGCATCTGTAGTCACAGGATCCCTCAACTCTGAACACAGTTTATATAATAAAACCTACAGTGCTTATTTGGAGGGAAAAAAATAAAGAAACTCACAACTAAAGCTGATAATGTATGCCAGACTTGTTCTCAAATGGAGTGATTTAGATACCCATTCATTCTGTAAATCCTGGATAAAACATGAATTCCTATTCAGTTGTGACCTGTAAGATTGTAATAAGGCTGAGTTACAGCTCTTGCTTTGCTTTTCCAGTTTAAACTGATCTGAAGGTAAGAGGACCTAAGCAAAACAGCTTAGACCACCTAAAAGTTAACGTAATAAATCCTAGTATCTTCGTGCGATTTTCTATATACATTCTAGGATATTCTAAAGCCTTCCTGAATCTATCAGGCTCTAACGTAAACACACATAAAAAGAGGCAGAAGACCACAATATGTATCAACCTAGAAGTAATTGCTATTATGTAAAAACAAAGTAGAAAAAATTAGTACTCGCGCAAAAAATTTCCTTCAGAAATTAAATTATTGTTGTTTATGAAAGGCTGCAAAATGGATTTCTGAAACTCTAGAATCCTTGGACAAAATATGTAAAAAGAATCTGAGGTGTTGCATTTCTGAGAACAGGTTAAGGATAGAAGGTATTATCAAAGATGTGGTCAAAAAAGGTAAGATATACTCCATTGTCTTTCCAACAGCACAAACAGAACAAGCTTGTGATGTATTACCTCTGTGATTTCCAGAAGAAATTGCTCCCCACACCTCCACCACCCCCTTTTGCTTTTTTTTTTTTTAAACAAAAGCATACATTCCAGATTAAGTACTGCTTCAGCATTAAAAAATGTAGAATGTGGGCACACAGCTCTCAAAGCATTCCATTTAGATTGCTTCAACAAAAGTCCTAGAAATAAACAAACAGCATACATCTTTAAATTCATAGTTAGTGCTGAACTTTATGGCAATTCAATCTGCTAGGTATGAAAACACATAATTTTACCAAAGAAATCTTTCTATTGCTACACTGTGACTCAAAGAACATAACCACATATTTTACAAAACCTGCTTCAATATATATGGGGTGTTAGGCTACACCAATGTTTTCATTAGGGCTAACAATACATTACACAGGTGCTAAAATTTCTCAGATATGTAATACATGGACATAATACATAAAGTACCGTTTCCCCCCTTCAAGTTCACAGGTTGAGAATACTCTACAAAAATGCTTTTAACATCCTCATTATACTTTCACCTTAAAATATTTTACTGTTTGTATTTTGGTAAGGACAAGAAGTCCTATTCACACAAAGACTGCATTATACCAGATGACTAATCAGTACAGCACTGAGTAACAATTTCCACACCAAAAATCTTCTACCCTAAGGTCAAGGCAGGTAGAGATGAGAAAGCACAGTAAGACAGCACTAGTCAGCAAAGTAAGTATCAACAGCTTGATTCACACTCAAATTTCAGAAGTTACAGAATATGCTCAACAATAGAGACAATTTAGAAATCTGTGTAGGAGTATTCTAAAGCTGCAAAATTTAAAAGAACCCTCAGTTGGTCTGGAATATTCAGTTCACCATTTTCTGAAGTCACAAGTCCTTCACTGAAATAGCTCTGTTTGGAACACAAGATTTTTCCTACAGACAAAATTATTTATGTACTAATATCACTGTAAAAGTACATCACACTTAAAAAAAAAAGTAAATTAGACATCTTATTCTGGAGGCTCTAATTTCTAAAATCGTTGTATGCATAGACTGGAACAACATTTTTAGTTCAAAACATTTTCCTAACAAGACCATTCAACTTAAATTTAACAGGGGGATATCCACTAGAAATCAGTATAGGGATAGTATTGATACACCTAAATACTATATATTTTGAAGAATCGCTGAAAAACACCAAAGTCCACTAACCAAAGTGAATATATGTGTCAGGAATTATTGTTACGCATCTTTTAATCAAGTCCACTATCTGGAGGAAAAAGAAACCTGAACAACTCCCCAGATTTGTCTCTCTGGGCATCTCATTACACATTAGAAGTTTATTTGCAAAGAAAAAAAAGCAGTCATTAGAAACAGAAGGGAGAAATTTGGATAAGCATTAGTTTAATTCGTTAATTTTCAGTTTAATTCTAATTATCCAGAGAAAATTGAAGTTGAAACTGCTTATTCAAATCACTTGGGCTGAGCAAGTGAATCAAAATATTTTAGCAATTCTTGTACTGTATTCTGAAAACACTCTAAAGAAGCTATACCTTTTAATAACTACAAATTACCAACTTAAAGTCCCTAATTTCCATACTAATAAAGGCATCATTACTTTTGTCATTCAGTAAAATAATTTGAGCATGCCAGACAAATGCAAATAAGAAACCTGTTATGATCCTAAACCAAATGTGAAGAGCCATGCAGTGATGTACAGCTGAGTATTACAGAGACCAACAAAAGTGTCTGGCAATCCCCTAAACAACTAAATTAAAGAAAAATCTTCCCTCCTCCTTCTTTCTACTCCCAAACCCACCTCAGCAGCTGGAGGAGAATTCATTCTCATGAAAGAATGACCTTGTGACCACGGCACAGCACTAAATCTTATTTTGTCCTATATTTGGCTTTGTAGGACTCTTCCTTATGATTCTTAGACAAATCTTCATCTTGTGTATTTAATCACAATTACTGCTGAAAAGAGAATAAAGATTCCCACTGATACATATTTAGGTATTTCTAATTTAAAAATTATTTGCAAAATGCAAAATGAAATTATAAAAAGCAGGCTAATTTCAACCAAGGGAGGTAAAAACCCTAAAGAGGTTCATAGATCTGTGAAGAACTTGAGACAGTCACCTTCACGCATCTGCCTGATCTCACACAGTATTGCTCACATTCACTCTTATTCTGAAGTCTCTGGTGATGAAAGTTGCACAATTCCCATGCAATCTTCTCTCTTTCACTCTTCTCCATTGCAGTGTTTTTCCTTTCCTTCTAACACAACAGAAAAGGTTAGTCCCCTGGCCTCTTCTCTTCGTCATTAGCAGAAAGCACAGACAACCACTCCTCGACTTCCTTCTTACACTTCCTGGGACAAACATCTCTCTTCAGTCCTATCACCCAGATTTAAAAAAAACCCCAAAAACTCTTGCCTGCTCTGTGTTTCCTAGTAGGCTATGTTTTTTTTCTGGATCTATGCTCATTCTTGCTGATTTTCTCTAGCTGTTCCACCTTGGGCCACCTACTTCTTTCAACTCCAGGGTTCCAAATTACACACTGCTCCTGCTGAGGCTTTACTAAGGCTAAATGCAGTGGAGGGATTGTTTTACATGCCTTGCACAGCATCTTCCACTTTGTATGATCCCAGTATGGCACCCTGACTCACTGTGTAAGGCTATTGATTCATGTTAAGGTTACCAGCCATGCATTTTCTTCACATCCTTTTGGCAGGACTACTACTTTGAACGAACATTGCAGTCACATACTGCTTCTTAACATATACTGAAATTGTTTGTGTTCTTTCACAGAGGGGAAACTAGACTTCAGAAATTATCTGAATTGCTGGTTTGAAGGCAAAAATGCAAACAAAATAAAAATTATACCACGTGTCATCATGAGACGTGACAAAAAAGAAAAAACCATTTTTGCTGCTCAGAGGAAGTTATTGATAGGAGCAGGAGATGATTATTTATTCCAAGTTTATATACTAGGTATCTGGAAATCCTAGGACATTGTCTCATGCTCGTGGAAAAGTATTTTGGTGTTAAGCCCTCTTTTCACTAAGCTTTACTAACCAAAGCAGTGAGGAAAGAACTGCACATTTTTAGACAGTTTAGCTTAGTACTTTAAGCATCAAACCAGGTCTGCAGGAACTATTACTCCACACAGGTTTTGCTACTAGTCTGTTTCTGAAATCATCAGTTTTCAAAAACTGATTTTAAACATAGGTATCAGTGAGTAATCTAAACTCCTCTGAATTACCTATTATGGTATTATAATGTTGATGCTACCTCCTCCTCAACCCCATTATTAACTCTTTACAACATTTCTATGTATACTAATGAACAGACTCATACTCTTTACACATCCTTCTTAATGTACCTTTTAATAAGGTGTTAGTATAATCCTAACCAATTTTCATTTGGATAACCCAATACTTACGAGTTGGGCTCCTAAAACATTATCCTCTAGAGAATTCACAATGATGGGCTGAGTGACACCAGTGATATTTGTTAACTGCAGGTATTTGTGCATCCTTACTGGCTGTGAGACCAGTTTACAGAACTGACCATGCCATCCATTTCGACCTGTGATGAGCCATGATAATTTATAAGAACATAATACTGGCTTTCAATAAAAAAAAAAAAATAGCATGTTAACTTTAAAAGAACAATACTAGGCAAAGGGCTTTTATCCCTAAATTATTTTGCTTTTGCAACTATGACCTCAACAATGATTCTATTATGATTTATAGTGAATGACTTTGTATTTTAGACTTCAAAGTATCATACTAAACAATACAGGAATTATAATCTATATGAAACAATATAGATTTAAAAAACACAACCCACAATCATACAAAACCATAACTGAATGTCTTCAGCTGTATGTGAGCAAGTGCCTGTGAAGCATGAAACACAAGTAAGCTAAAAATGTCTTGCTGAGAAGAAAAAAATCAAAAATATTTTGAAAGACAACTGCAAGGGCTTAGCAAGTTGAAGCCTGCTCAGAGAAGCATTTTTGCAGCACAGTGGTAGAAATTGCAATATAGTGATGTGGTTTATCACTTCCCAGTCAAGTCCTCTGACAAGAAAAGCTGTGCAGCAAAACCTACTAGCCTTCAGCTTGGCTTGCGAAATTCACACCACATCTCAAGGTCTCACAAAAGATTCTATGTTTATACTTCTTCCACCACATCTCCAACAACCTTGTTGATCTTCAAGCAGTCATAACCAACATCAAAATATTTCCTTACTATCAAGGTGGTATGGATCCCTTACATTCTTAGGGACCAGAACTGTCTTGGATCAGTTTAGGGTTAGAGAAAATTATTTCATTTTCATTCCAAAATTATTCAATTTTCTTTCCACTTTGACAAAACAGACTACTTCAATACTAAATGGTACTCTAGCACAATAGCAGTGACAATATAACCTTGTTCAAAAGATAGTATCAGCACTTTGCTGAAGTTAATTATTTCCTCAAATTCAAAGATGTTAATTTTCTTTTGCAGCTAATTGGGGCTTTATATTATAATCAAAAGACCACCACAAACACTGGTGAAAATAATGGCTCCACAACATGTATTATATCTAAACATTAAAATACTCCTTTTGATGACAGAACACATGAATTGTAAAAAGCACTGGAAAATTAAGAAAGCCTATTTTAATGTAATACTTCCCGTTCATTATCCTTTTATAAAGAACATCTCAGAGTTCTTTAAAATAAATAAATTGAGCATCTAAATAAAATTCTCTTTAAAAATAAGAGCCATTAAAATTACCATTAACAGCCAAACAAAAACAAACCCCTAAATTATCAAAGCACTAATGTCCAAAAATCTTAAAGTACAGGAAGTATTTGGATAGGATGGAAAATAGAGGGATGCTGTATCTATGCCAAGGGGGCCTTCTGCTAGTTACCATCAACCATATTTTATCTCTGTTTCAGCCTGATGAAAGCTGTTAGTCTCACTACTATGTTTTTAGACTCTGAACATACTCCAAAAATTTTCTTTCACTGCTGTCACTCAATTAATGCCAACTTGGGGCAATGTAACTTATTAAAAGCTTGCACACTGCCTAATACACAGACTTTTATCACTTTCACAAGAACTGAATTCAAGCTGAATAAAAAAAATTAATTACTCTTTTCAGGCCAACTCTTTCACTCCCTAGAAATGTCAGCACAAGCAGCAGGACATGACTTCCTATACGAAGTCTCAAAGCAAAGAAAGGTGGATATCATAGACAAAAATATTATTATAGCAGGAAAATCTACCATATAAAATATGATTAACACATCATTTAAAAGTGTAGTAACAAACTTAATACATCAACATGAACAGTCCTGAAGAAATGTATTTCCTATGGGTTTTGCATAGGTTAGAATTACTCTGGATGCTGTGGACCCATCAGATCAGGGTCAAATGCAAGAGGAGAGCAAGCTCTGCAACTAGTTTTTAGGTACTATGTTGTTATATATATATATAATTCCTTTTAAATTCTAAGTTCTGTCTCACAAGTAAGGATTTAAAATGTATACTAAAAACCCTGAGTACCATTTTTGTCAAGTAATTTCACTGAAACAGTTTCTGTGGGGTGACAGGCATTCAGTAGTACGGTAATCTCACACATCCCAAAACTTTCACACAAAGACAGAAAATTGTCTTATTTACTCTTTGGTTTACATGCAGCAGTGTTAACCCTTGCCATTTCCTTTAAATCCCTATTTTGTTGTTGTTTTTCATTTAAATAATACTTTATATTTATAAATAATACTTTAATACTTCATTTAAATATCATCCTACCTGTATGGACTATAAACAACTCCTCCCTGCTCTGGATTAAGAAAAAATACCAAAGATGAAAAGCCTATGTAACTTACTACTATGCACTTTCCAGTGGTTGCATGGGCTTTGCCTGTGTTAGAGCTCTTTTGTACACAGAACAAATACAGTATTTCAAACGATATCCCAAGTATCTCCTTCTGCATCACTCATATTTGCAATAAGACAGATGAAGTTGGGTGTTCATAAAGAATAAATTTTTACACAGGGTAAGTATGTCCTATTCATCATGTTACTTTAAAACTCTCCAGATTAGAGTTACTCAAAGGACTGTTTCCTTATCATCTTTTCCTCTGTGTTATGAATATAGATCATTCATACAAAATACAGCATTTTCTTTGTACAGCAGACTGCAGTGAAAACACTTGTTATGGCTATTTCCTATATTTTGAACAATCCATGTTCCTACTTCTCACAGCATTTCATGGTGTAATAACTTTCCCACAACCTTAACAAGTACTTAGCAGTAAAAAAAATTCAACAAAAATAAAATTCAAACTGCATTTAGGTGTCTCTAAAATCATACCCAAGGGTTTTTACTAAATCCTACTAAAGGGTTTTTATTGACTAAACTTACTCTAAAGGTCCATTTGTGATCAAAAAGCTTCTGGTTCTCCATACTTCTTTTAGGTCAGAACCACAAGTTATGATGGTATTTTTTCCAGCTGGCTAGTTCTGCTCATCACCTTTATGGCAGGAATTAGATCTGAAGTTTCTAGCATGCCTTTCCTCTGCAGAACTCTTACCTATTTGTATTTACATATATAGACATGAGAGTTCCTGCAGCCGGTTTACTGTAGCTACTGAGATGACCTGAGTTTGCCTTCAAACAGTGAAGGATTACTTACATTCCTCTTTCCAGCACCACCATCAAGTATTTGGCCATCTTGAAAAGTCAGTACATGAAAAAAAAGGCTAGGGACAAAAGAACAGATTTATAGCTACAGAAAAGGAAGAAATCTAATACAGGCTGCCCAGTAGCTGACATATTTTCATCTCTCAATGTGTTATATATATGCATACAGATATAAGTCATCACCTACAAATTACATTCCTGGTGTAATATATTACTTATATTACACCATTCTACTTCAGTTATCAATTTAATTAAATGACCTAGAATTTTAAATAGCAAAAATATTTCTAAGCTGGAAAAAACAAAAGTATTTCAGCATTTGTCCCTGGTTCAACTATCAAAACACTGCTCCCAGAACACACACCCTCCTCTATATGACATTTGCTATTCAGGTCTGTTTTGATACCGCACCTTTTTACCAAATGTACCTGAAATTTGCTAACAGATACAAAGGTCACTTGAGGAAACTAAGAACAAGCATGCCCAGGTAAGCTGTGTTTCCTTAAGCAATCACACAGTATCAACAGAACAACTTAATTTTCTTTTTATTATAAAACATGCAACACAACTTGCATTTTCTGAACTATTTTTTCCTAGAGACTGTAGAAGCCATGCTATAATTTTGCATATTTACAACCATAAAGCACCACTTTGTTTCCAGCTTAGAAATTAATATGCAATATGAAGACATGTGTTTTGGGTGCTGTAATTAAATGCATATTCCACCAGACAAGGACAAACTTCCTAAAGGCACAGAAAAAGCCTGTACTGATTACATACCCTGTAAGCTAAAGATGCAAATGGTTATAAAGATCAGTTCTGAAACATTCAATTTAGTCTTGAAGGATTCCAGAAGAATAAGGAAAAATATTCAAATTTGGACTTTCCCTTTTGCAACTGATACAAAAATGCTGGTTAAAATTATTCCAAGTACAATGATGTAGAAATGTTAGGGGGAAAAATTGTCTGCTTCCACTGCTTCCTGTGTCTGACGGTTCTGCAGCAGATAAGGCAAAAATGTCTCACTAAAACATCAATAATCATGTAATGAAATTTCATACCTACAAATCCTCATCTGTGTTGCACTTGTCTGTCCCTAACATACCTGGTAGCAGTTCAATAAGCAGTCTTACTTTTTCCATTTATTTTCTGTATCTTGTACTTCTTACATGTACAAGTCAACAATGATTTTGGAATGCCAAATTCAGAAACTTTATCTGCACTTTCTCTAGGCAACAACAGCGTCTGAGTACTTGTCTCTAAGTTTCATCATATCACTGGCTTGGTAAATTAGCAATGCCCCTCTTATAATAAAATATATTGTTCCACCTTGACCTTCCCTTTGAACTGTGGACAAAGATTGTATTTACTCTAGTTTCAAAACAAGATATATTCACCAATAGAGAAAGAAATTGTTGTCAGTATTACTCCCAGTTTTAAATATGAAGGTTGTGAGAACTGGGTTTTGTTACACACAGGATTAATTATTTTGAGAATTATTTATGGTAAAGAAGTAAATATTTATGGTAAAGAAGTAAATTACCTTCTGAGGTAACAAGAAGAAAAACTAAATTTAGGTTCCACCAGATAAAGCGTAAGTCAGTACCCCAGAAACAATTATATAGTCAGACCTTTTGGAAACACCTGCTGAAAGATAATGAAAGGCTACAAAAATTACAGATAGAGTTGGACTTGACAATCAAGCAAATGGGGCTTTGAATAAAAGCAGCAGCCTAAAAGAGGTAGATTTGAAAAACCTGTACCTGGAATAGAGATTTCTGACCTTTCTTTGCACCCCTGCTTTCACTTAAATCAAGAAAATAAATGAGCTTTTCACTTGCAATCAGAAAAATATCCATCAAATGTTCCCCTATTCAGCACTTCATCTTTTTATAAATTTGAATCTAACAGCATCGTGTAATAAAAGATTATCAAATAACTTTTAGGACTGATTTAGCATTTTTCTAAACACAGGTTGCTTGGATAAAAATTTTCAAGTGTTATCTGTTGATCTCACATATTACATAAATCTTGGAGTCTGTACTATTCTTACTATTCTTTCCCAATCCTTATTAAAACTTGTTAAATGGCCTTGCATTTTCTTTTACGTCCTAAGCCTAAAGATGTTTGACCTGTAAAAAGCTATGAAAGATTACATTCAGATTCAAAAACTGCTTGAAGGTACACAGTCTGTGAATGAAAACAAAATTAAATCTTTTCACTACCTTTAAAGATGAATTTACAAAATCACCAGGAAGTCCTGCAGTGAAGGCCCAAATAAAACTGGAAGAATAGACTGAATAGTTTCTTTTCATTTATAGTCTCCATTTGATCTTAGTATTTAGCATCTTCAGAGAAGAACGAAAAATACAGGCTTGATAGCTTAAGGTTTGGCTATATCTTTCTAGAGATACTGTCATGACACAAATGTTTCATACTAAACAACTGATCATCCAGTAGAAGTATATCTTTCAATTTTTGACCACATAGCTTCCAGAAATGTTTTAGGGAATACATTACCTTTTTCCTAAAAAAGGAAAATGGCACCATGTCATACCTCTCATCATACTGCAGTCAAGTTACATTGCAACAACGTCCTGCTTCACTTCAAAGATTGGGTATTTCACTGTTTTCTTCACATTGTTCCTTATTCCTCGGGAGCTATTTGATCTTTCATACTCATCTTACACCTGCTCCCACACAGCCCACCCTTTGTACCTGGCATCTCTTCTCTTGATTTGGCATGAGCTGGATTTTAGACTTTGAAAGAGCAGTAATTGAATTTTTCAAGACAAATCAAATGGTGAAGATACAACACATTCACAGAATGGCTGACGCTAGAAGGTGCCACTGGAAATCATCTGCCAGATTGTGGAGGGTGTGCTCCATCTCACTGTTCAGGTTATTAATGATGATGTTAAATGGCACTGAACTCAGAATCCGCCCATGGGACACCCCACCAGTGTCCAGCTTAACTTGGTGGCACTGGTCACAATCCTTTGGGCCCTTCAACGCATCCCATTTTCAATGCCCTTCACTGTGCACTTCCCAATGTGTACTTCATTAGCTTGTCTACAAGGATGGATGGGATGCAGAGCTGAAAGCCTTACTAACATCAGCAACATCAACTGCTGTTAGCCCATACATCAAGCTCGTCATTGAAGGGTTTCACGTTGGCCAAGAACAATCTCCCCTGCATAAAAATCCATGCTGACTACTCTCAATCACCTTGATATCGTCCAAATGTTTGAAAATTACTTCCAGGAGGATGTGATCCATCACCTTTCCAGTGATCAAGGCAAGAGTGACTGGGAATGTAATTTCCCAGACCCTTCCTTGAAGACTGGAGTGACATTTGCTTTCTTCCCCTCAGGAGCTTCCCCTGATGGCTATGACCTTTCAAAAAGAGTGGTCTCACAATTATTTGCATATATGAATATGAAGCACATGATTTGATATATCTCTATGGGTTTCACTATGGTGAGCTCAAAGATCTCGCACTACTTTTCCAACTAGAAGGCTGGTAGCACTGTAACAGTATGCTCTATTTCTACCTTTAAATCTGCATTTTACAAAAGTTTCACCTAACAGACTATTTTCTCAGGGTTTTTTGAGTTGCTTTTCTCTTTTTTTTAATCACTAGCATGAATACCAAATACTAAAATTTTGCAGTCTCTTTTGATAACTTCTACATTTTCATTACTTACTGGTTTGAAAGTGTAATCTAATATATTAACAAAGTCCTCAGAAAGGCAGGCAAGGGAGTAGTCATGCTCCCTGTAAACAGAAAAATTAAAAACACTAGATAATATTATTTCAACTACGGAATAGAACTATAGTAAAGTAAACTCACAGGAAAGTATGTGATTAGAAGCACATGCAGGAAAATAAAGTTCTGCCAGACACACTGTTCTTTTGTGATCTCATGAAAGTAGATACCTAACGAAAAACACCCCAAAAATCTTGGGAAATATAACAGCTGACAACCAGAAGAGTGATTGGGTTTGGATTTCTGGGTTTTTTTTTCTCCTCTGAGAAAGCAAATCATCAGCAAGTCCTTCTGGGAAATAACACCTATTACTTGTCGATCCACTCAAGAGTAGAAAATCACCCTAGTTTTTAAAGCTGTAAACTTATTTCTAGTAATGTGCACTATTATTACTTTCTTCTTTTCAAGGATTTAGGTTTACTCTTTCAAATTACCACAGCTTTGGAAGTTTAATAGGAAGACAGAAGAGCATGCCTTTATTTCTGAAATAATCCTTAAATATTGACAGGGAGCCATCCTTGGATTCTAGAATTCTAATAAGGAAAATTGTAAATTGCCAAGGTAAAAGTTCCATATATTTAACTTTGCTACAGGACACATTTAAGTGATTCACTTTATGAAGCCTGGAAAGTAACTAAGATTCTGTCTACAAAAAATATTCTGGCAGCGTCTTTTCCTCATTCCTTGTTAAAAGAACATCTCTAATGCTCTCACTAATCCCAAACATGGTAGCAGGTATCCTTGGGAAGAGTCCAGATCTTAGAAAGCTATATGTCAACTGTATTAAAGCCTGACTGCCTCAAAACTTATTAAAAGCCAGTTCTTGTCCCACAGCAGCCCACAAGCTGAGCTGCACACTAGGAACAACTTCCCCACACTACACTGGTGCTAGTCTGCAAACGTCCACCAACACAGTGACACACTCCCAAAGGCTAAGACACTGGTAATTCCTTTGGCAAGAGATAGGAGGAGAAGAATGGGAAGCAGAAGCCCAGGACTCTGTTCCCCATTTCCATACCTCACTTGCCAAGTGGCAGTTCATCTGTTGAACACCCACTCACACCAGGCACAAAGAAGTAGGCCAGAGAATGTAGTCTGAAGATTTGGGAACAAAAATAATTTTATACTACTGACCCAGCTTCAGTACTACAAGACATGTGAGATTTCATCTAGGCTTTTTTTTGTTGGAGTTTTTTGGAGGTGGTGGTGGTGGTATGCTTTTAATCACTGCTGCACCATGGAAGTATTTCAAATAGATTAGGCGCCAATTCCATTATTAATGTAAACTGCAGACTAATCTTAATTACTGTCACCACACAGAAGCTATGGAGGGGTGCTCATCTCTTACCTGAGACTGATCCTGACTGTGTAGACAGGACTACTATGAAAAAAATTAAATAGCGATGCATTTTCAAATGCTAACAGGCATGACTTAAAAGTTATTGTACCATGTAAAAGGACCTCTATTTCAAGCCCATTACTTCTAAAAACCTTCCGAGCATGCTGTGAAGTGCATGCTGTCTTTTTCCTTGCTGTTGAAGTTGCATATTGATGAAAACAGATCTATGGCAAATCTTCGGCTTATGCTTATTTTTAGTGTGGAATAAGAACTTTGAGTAAAGGCAGGAACACAATAGCTGCATATTATAAAGTGGAAAAAATACTCAGAAAAGAAGTCAGCAAAATGCAGTATGTTACAAGTATGCTTGATAACTAAATTCAAAATATTATTAAAACTATAATTGATGCACTTTGTGGTAATTATATGAAGTGTTCTTATTTCCTTCCTGTTACAGTCAGAGCATGAATAAACAATCTGTTTTCAATTGCTCTCAGCCATGAAATTTAAAGAGGCTGAAAATATGCAAGTCAAATAAGAAATTTTAAAAAGGCTGGCATTTATTTGCTGAAAAATTTTACTGGTATGTTTCAAAGAATTATGGAAAAGTTAACTACTCAAGTACAGTAGTATTCAAGGCACTATTCAAAGGTGAATACAATCAACATCTCCCTGCTCTGATGGAAATGGTTAATTGGCTTTCATGTACCCAGTGGAAGAAAAACAGAGTCAAGTATTTAAGTTACTGCAAAGATTTGTACACATCTCCTTTGTAAAAGGCACACCATGACCACAAACTCCACAACAGACAATTATTGTCTTCCAATAGCTTTTACTGTTTCATACAGAATACAGTCACAGGCTTTATACAAACCTTACATGAGTTGAGATTTCTTGACGTCAACACTGTGAAGACAAACTTCAGTCTAAGTTTATGTGATTTTAATAGCTGCTACAGGATTTTAATTGCTGCCAAGAAAGGAGTTGGTTTATACTATATTTTATTTCTGATTAGAGAAGTCAAAATCTCAAAAAAACCTCCAAAAAATTAGCTACCTAAAAGTTAATTTGACTCAGACATCTTAAAAAAAAAAAAAAAAAAAACCACCAAAAAAACTCCAAAGAAAACCAATCCAAACCCAGAAAACTGCACTAGACAGAAGGTAATTCTATACTTAATTAATATCCATTAAAAATTTCCTTATCCTATGAGAGAATAACGGATTTTTTGCCAAGTACTATACTCTTTAGCTTCCTACCAGCCCCAAGCACCAACACTCTTATAATAAAGTACATGACATGAAAGCAAGCATGTTACTTAAGCAGCTCTGTGGGTACAGCTAAATCCAGGAAAACATAAAACATCTAGAAACTACAGCAATACCTATTGTTTAAAGGCACAGAAGGAAAAACATAGTAAATCTGTCCAACCATCCAATCTGGAGTTAAAAATGATGATTTAACACTGATATTCCTGAAGAATAACGTTACAGGTATCCTGGAATAGAAAATCACATCTAAGCATTAATGTCAGTTATGCTGCTTTGAATCAGAATGTTCGTGTAGTTCCGGTTCTCAAGCTTAACCAACAGACCCCTGTCTTTCTAAGACAAAACCCTAGGTTCCCTTCTGTTACTCAGGTCATTTCTGTCATTTCCTGACAGAAGAAAGTAAGCATTGGCGGGTGCAATTCTGCATTCCGTTCTGCACGAAACATGTGCCTTCTGAATTGAGCTCAAACTGGACAGTTTTGAAATAACAAGTCCGACCGTTCCCATGGACAATAGCTCTTATAGGACTCTCACCAACCCAGCTTGACAAGGTTCTGCCTCATGCTTTTGGTCTCTTTCTCAGATTATCAGAAGATAGCCAATTGTGATGATGGATTTTCTGCTGGAAGGAAACTTCATGCTGGACTGAGACCACCAACTCATTTCACAGAAAATAAGATGGCAGTAGGTTTTTGCAGTTGCTAACTTAAACTGTATTTGAGCTACAGCCCTAGATGTGAAAGGCTCTATAATAAATTACCAATCTCCTGAGCCATCCAGTTAAAAACATGCCTGATTTTCTTTTAAGCATTATTTCATGTTCATAGATTTTCTGAAACTGTAGAAAGTAAAACATCAGAAAAATTTAGATTCTTCATGACATATCATTTGCCTCCTGTATGCCTCTAAAAATATCATAAAGTTGTCTAAGTAGTAACATGCACTATGGATTTCTGTGTTATGTTTTGCTTCACTATTTCATGAGTCATGACAAAGCCACCAGAATATTTTTGATTTTTTTCCCCTCAGTGCTGAGCCTTTTGTTTCATTTCTAAAACCAGGAGCAAATTAAATCCATCCACACAATCACTGCAACAAAGCAAAGTCTCCTTGTACTTCAGTTCTGGAAATGCTATTTATCAGAGCTATACCTTTTGCCTTCCATTCAAATGGAGAAACTGGCATTCTGTAAAAGCGTTTATCAGGCATGAAAATCGATGTCACAAAACTAGTCCCTGACCACATTTCCAGGAACACTATTAAAGCTATTTCAAAGACAAAAAGTGACTCTGGAGGAGTAGTAAGGAAGCCAGACTTATTTCACCAAACACAGAATATCACTGGCAATACTGACTCATAGGAATGAAAGGACAAACTAATGATACTTCTAATTACTGAAATACACAAATTTCATTTGTGCATAAGAGTATATACAGGTGGTACACTTAGAAGTAAATTGAAAAAAAGAATGCTATCAAAGAGTAAGAGTTACAGACAAGTAGATCAGAGAAATTATCAAATTTCAAGATAACAGACAAAAAAGACCAATTAGATGTGAATATATTTTGAAGGCAAAAATGTAAGAGTTGGTGTGAT